AAGGTAAGGTAAAGGACACAGAAACCCTGTGAACACGGCAAAGGTAAGGTAAAGAACACAGAAACGCTGTGAACACGGCAAGGACACAACCAAACCCTAAAATAGGGAAAGGCACGTCAAGGTAAAACCAAACCCTAAAAAGAAAGGGTAAGGCAAGGTAAGGCAAATAAAGGCCAAGCAAAGGCAAGGTGGCAAGGCATGGCAAAGAAAGCCCAGATAGGGCAACAAAACCCTAAAGATAAGGTAAGGCATGACAAATACGGAAAGTCAAGAGCAAAGGTAAGGTCAACGGGCAGAACCACATCAGAAACACACCGGTAAAGGCAAGAACACGGTAGAAGCAACAACAACACTGTCCTCAACAAGAGACAACAACACTGGCAGCAGCAAGAGCAACACTGGTACCAGCAAGAGCAATATAAGGCACTGGCACCAAATCAGAGACAACTTCTCTTCACTCCCTCTCTCCCCTTGAAGAGAAGGGGTCGATGGAGCCATATGATCAGTGGCACTGGCACTGGCACCAATGAGAGAAATCTAAGACACTGGCACCAGCAAAGGATATAGTAGGCAGCAGCAATAATACTAGCAGCGTCACAAATACTTCCATTATTGCAGATACAACTTCTCTTCACTCCTCCTCTCCCCCTGAAGAGAAGGGGTTGTCAGAACCATAAGAGCAGTGGCACTTGAGAAACAGAAGCTGACTGAAGCTCAGATGTAGAAGAATCAGTCATGGCAGATAGGTAACTGAATTGCAGGCAGCGGAATAGATGAGCAGCAGTGTCACTCCCCCTCAAATCCGACGACGTATGAGAGTCGAGATTTGGAGAAAGCAACACCGGTAATGACAATAAAGTTGCAGCACCCAAATAAAGTTGCATCTATCTCCCCCTCAAATCTGACACTGGTAGAGGGTCGAGATTTGGAAGAAGAGAAAATGAAATAATAGTAAAGAGACTCAAACATGTCAGTCTCGTGGTAGAAACAAATGCAAGGAAAGGTGGAATGGAGATGGGCATCCGACAACTGGATAAAAGGAATAAAAGATGGAAAAGAGTCTGCAACCCAAACAGAAAGGAGGATTAAAAATGAATGAAGGTGGATGACGTGTATGCACACATAGAGAGAAAGGGATGAATATTGTATAGATAGGGTAGGTGATGTGGACAAGTGCAAGAGGTGTTGAAACGGAAGAGGCATATAGTGCAAAACAAGTCCAATAAAATAAAGGGAAAAGGAAGCCAGAAGGTCAACGTGAAAGAGAAGAGGTAGCAAAGAAAAGATTTTCATATATATATATA